CTCTCTGAGGTATACCACCGTCCTCACAGTCCTCTCTGAGGTATACCACCGTCCTCACAGTCCTCTCTGAGGTATACCACCGTCCTCACAGTCCTCTCTATGGTATACCACCGTCCTCACAGTCCTCTCTGAGGTATACCACCGTCCTCACAGTCCTCTCTGAGGTATACCACCGTCCTCACAGTCCTCTCTGAGGTATACCACCGTCCTCACAGTCCTCTCTGAGGTATACCACCGTCTTCACAGTCCTCTCTAAGGTATACCACCGTCCTCACAGTCCTCTCTGAGGTATACCACCGTCCTCACAGTCCTCTCTAAGGTATACCACCGTCCTCACAGTCCTCTCTAAGGTATACCATCGTCCTCGCAGTCCTCTCTATGGTATACCACCGTCCTCACAGTCCTCTCTGAGGTATACCACCGTCCTCACAGTCCTCTCTGAGGTATACCACCGTCTGCACAGTCCTCTCTAAGGTATACCACCGTCCTCACAGTCCTCTCTGAGGTATACCACCGTCCTCACAGTCCTCTCTATGGTATACCACCGTCCTCACAGTCCTCTCTGAGGTATACCACCGTCCTCACAGTCCTCTCTGAGGTATACCACCGTCCTCACAGTCCTCTCTATGGTATACCACCGTCCTCACAGTCCTCTCTGAGGTATACCACCGTCCTCACAGTCCTCTCTGAGGTATACCACCGTCCTCACAGTCCTCTCTATGGTATACCACCGTCCTCACAGTCCTCTCTGAGGTATACCACCGTCCTCACAGTCCTCTCTGAGGTATACCACCGTCCTCACAGTCCTCTCTGAGGTATACCACCGTCCTCACAGTCCTCTCTGAGGTATACCACCGTCTTCACAGTCCTCTCTAAGGTATACCACCGTCCTCACAGTCCTCTCTGAGGTATACCACCGTCCTCACAGTCCTCTCTAAGGTATACCACCGTCCTCACAGTCCTCTCTAAGGTATACCATCGTCCTCACAGTCCTCTCTATGGTATACCACCGTCCTCACAGTCCTCTCTAAGGTATACCACAGTCTTCACAGTCCTCTCTAAGGTATACCACTACTCTCACAGCCCTCTCTAAGGTATACCACCGTCCTCACAGTCCTCTCTGAGGTATACCACCGTCCTCACAGTCCTCTCTATGGTATACCACCGTCCTCACAGTCCTCTCTGAAGTATACCACCGTCCTCACATTCCTCTCTGAGGTATACCACCGTCCTCACAGTCCTCACAGTCCTCTCTGAGGTATACCACCGTCCTCACAGTCCTCTCCGAGGTATACCACCGTCCTCACAGTCCTCTCTGATGTATACCACCGTCTTCACAGTCCTCTCTAAGGTATTCCACCGTCCTCACAGTCCTCTCTAAGGTATACCACCGTCCTCACAGTCCTCTCTAAGGTATACCACCGTCCTCACAGTCCTCTCTAAGGTATACCACCGTCTTCACAGTCCTCTCTAAGGTATACCACTACTCTCACAGCCCTCTCTAAGGTATACCACCGTTCTCACAGTCCTCTCTAAGGTATACCACCTTCTTCACAGTCCTCTCTAAGGTATACCACCGTCTTCACAGTCCTCTCTAAGGTATACCACATTCCTCACAGGTTTCTCTAAGGTATATCACAGTCCTCTCTAAGGTATACCACCGTCTTTACAGTCGTCTCTAAGGTATACCACCTTCCTCACAGTCCTCTCTAAGGTATACCACCGTTCTCACTGTCCTCTCTATGATATACGACCGTCTTCACAGTCCTCTCTAAGGTATATCTCTACTCTCATAGCCCTCTCTAAGGTATACCACCTTCCTCACAGTCCACTCTAAGGTATACCACCGTCCTCACAGTCTACTCTAAGGTATACCACCGTCCTCACAGTCCACTCTAAGGTATACCACCGTCCTCACAGTCCACTCTAAGGTATACCACCGTCCTCACAGTCTACTCTAAGGTATACCACTGTCCTCACAGTCCTCTCTAAGGTATACCACCGTCTTCACAGTTCTCTCTAAGGCATACCACTACTCTCACAGCCCTCTCTAAGGTATACCACCTTCCTCACAGTCCTCTCTAAGGTATATCACCACCCTCACAATCCACTCTAAGGTATTGGTTTGGAAATAGGGTTATTGAGGCTAAAACCTTGGGTAGTTTCAGATTTAGGTTGGATAAATACATGAGTGAGAGAGGCTGGATTTAAGTGGGAGTTGCATATGAGTGGATAGAGTTATTAAAGCTTATTTCTTGGGTGGAATTGAAAATTGGGGTGGGCAAATGTTTTGTTAGTGGGATGGATTGTGAAGGACCTGCCTAGTATGGGCCAACAGGCCTGCTGCAGTGTTCCTCCTTTCTTATGTTCTTATGTATACTAATACATAAGAATACATAAGGGTGGTGGTATACCTCCGAAAGGACTCAAAGTCCTTTGGGAGGTATACCACCAGGATGTGACTAACCCTAAGTTACTAAATAAAATATATATTACTACTTTCATCCCCCACAGGATGCCACCCACAACAGTCGATTATCATCCTGGTACTATCTATTGTAGGCTAGCAGCCTCAACGATGCCATGTATGCTGCTAGTCCCAAGATACATCGCACAATAGTCAATTAGCAGATGAATGGTTCAGAGAACCGACATGTTGATAAATTAAACACATGTGCAACTCTTGGGTATCTTTAATGAGGAAACGTTTCGCCACACAGTGGCTTCATCAGTCCATACACAGGAGAAAGAACATTAAAATGGTATAAAATACCGACAGATTGTTAGGTAAGACACATATGCAACAGTTAGGTATCTTTATTTCGAAACGTTTCGCCTACACAGTAGGCTTCTTCAGTCGAGTACAGAAAAGTTGATAGAAGCAGAAGATACTTGAAGACGATGTAATCAGTCCATCACCCTTAGGAGAAACTTGAAGAACAGGAGGAGAATGAGGTAATCAGTCCCTCAACCTTGAGTCGATGTGTTCAGTCCATCAATCTTGAATAGAATACGGCATATCAGCGGCAATTAGCACTGGTTTCACTCTCACCCCCAGGATGCCACCAAACGCAATCGACTAGCACATTGGTTCTGTGGTATACTGATGAAAATAAATGGTATAAAATACCGACATAACGGAAACATAAACACATATGCAGTTTAATGTGATCATTTATTGACAACGTTTCGCCCACACAGTGGGTTTTTTCAAGTCACACACAGATCTACCTGGGGGTGGAAGGTACGGGAGTATTTATAGTCAGGTTCAGATGCAGCATTCTCCACCTGACCTCAACATTCTGAACCTGACTATAAATACTCCCGTACCTTCTACCCCAGGCAGATCTGTGTGTGACTTGAAAAAGCCCACTGTGTGGGCGAAACGTTGTCAATAAAGGATCACATTAAACTGCATGTGTGTTTGTTTCCACTATGGTATACTGCCACCCTCCCCTCCCAGGGTACCACCCACAACAGTCAATTATCACCCAGGTACTATGGTATACTGCCACCTCCCCTCCAGGGTACCACCCACATCAGTCAATTATCACCCAGGTACTATGGTATACTGCCACCCTCCCCTCCCAGGGTACCACCCACAACAGTCAATTATCACCCAGGTACTATGGTATACTGCCACCCTCCCCTCCCAGGGTACCACCCACATCAGTCAATTATCACCCAGGTACTATGGTATACTGCCACCCTCCCCTCCCAGGGTACCACCCACAACAGTCAATTATCACCCAGGTACTAACTATGGTATACTGCCACCCTCCCCTCCCAGGGTACCACCCACAACAGTCAATTATCACCCAGGTACTATGGTATACTGCCACCCTCCCCTCCAAGGGTACCACCCACATCAGTCAATTATCACCCAGGTACTAACTATGGTATACTGCCACCCTCCCCTCCCAGGGTACCACCCACAGCAGTCAATTATCACCCAGGTACTAACTATGGTATACTGCCACCCTCCCCTCCCAGGGTACCACCCACAACAGTCAATTATCACCCAGGTACTATGGTATACTGCCACCCTCCCCTCCCAGGGTACCACCCACATCAGTCAATTATCACCCAGGTACTAACTATGGTATACTGCCACCCTCCCCTCCCAGGATACCACCCACAACAGTCAATTATCACCCAGGTACTAACTATGGTATACTGCCACCCTCCCCTCCCAGGATACCACCCACATCAGTCAATTATCACCCAGGTACTATGGTATACTGCCCCCCTCCCCTCCCAGGGTACCACCCACATCAGTCAATTATCACCCAGGTACTAACTATGGTATACTGCCACCCTCCCCTCCCAGGGTACCACCCACAACAGTCAATTATCACCCAGGTACTAACTATGGTATACTGCCACCCTCCCCTCCCAGGGTACCACCCACATCAGTCAATTATCACCCAGGTACTAACTATGGTATACTGCCACCCTACCCTCCCAGGGTACCACCCACAACAGTTACCAAACGCCCAAGTACTATTTACTGTTAGGTGAACAGAGGCAACAGGTGTTAGTCTCGCCCAGACGTCTCGCCCACCCTGGGAACTGAACCTTGGTATTACTAAGGATTATTTTATAATCTAATGGTTATAATTATGACCTTAATTTTTAAAGGGGTGGGAGTAAGCCAGTGGAAGGCTTCGATCAGATGACCTAAAGCTCCACCTGCGGGTCATCGTATGACTAAGACCCGCGTCAGCAAACACTTGTCCTATTTCCTGACAAACCTTACCTAACCTAACCTGGATTTACTAAGGTAAAGAAAAATGGGAGGAGGGAAGAAAGAAGGGGATGCCACGTTCAGGGGAAGGGGAAAGGGGTAAGGGGGAAGATGGTGGAGAGGGGAACACATGGGTGGGATTACATCCCCTGTGGCGTGTTACGGGTTCACTAATTATGCCATAAATACCGAGTTAAAATAAGCCTAATTATAACATGAAATACGGGTTCTTATATGCTTAATTTTCTTACAGAAGCCGAGTTATAATAAAGGCAATTACTTTACGAATTACGTTACGAAAACAAAGTTACTCTCGTCTAATTTCGGTGTTCCGTGCCGAGGCGGACTTAAAGCTATTTTACGGTGGAGGTGGAAGCTCACTGCCCCGCGCCACTAAACGCTGCCCCGCGCCACTAAACTCCCGGATAATCACTCACCAAATACATTATAAAAATTAGACTAGATTGGTGAATGATTCAGCCGTTGAGTTGATAGTGAACGATGAATTGTTTATTGATCGGGATGGTGAACCATGTAATAGAGGAATATTACGAGATTTAAGTGTAATAATACGATAATAATGTAAATAGAATAAGTGAAACACGAGAAAGAATTATGTAAGTGAAATGCAAGGAAATAAAAGTGGAAAAAAAAGCATCTAAATAATATAACAGAAATAATTCAATAAAAAAATAACAGTGAATTAATACTGTGTAATAATGTGTAATAAAATAAGAGAAAATATTGTAGCTGAAAGTATTTTAATGGTGAAATAATTATGAAAATAATGTAACACTGAAATTTTCCTCTGAGTGTAATTGGCCTTCAAGTGAATTTTTTCAGTTTTTTTTTTTTACGTGTATCGTGCAGTTCAAAATGAGTGATTATATTTGAAAATAATCAGGAAATAAATGTCGATTTTTGAAGGTAGTGAGGAGAGTAATAACTGGTGGGTGAAGGCTTGCAACAGTGACCTTCATAGATGTGCAACAGCACGTCTAGAGTCACCCACATCCCTCTGCAACACTAGAGTTTACATTCTCCCTCTGGTGGCAATGAACGATACCGCAGCATCAACTATGCAGTGAGGAACCTCTGTTGTAAGCTTGCTTGTTGTGTGAGTTACCTCCATCCCTCACCATACACGCCCACACATCACGCCCACAAAGACGCTAGGGCCGCCCACACGCCCACGGGATGAGTGTTGTGGAGGACGCGGGCGTACTGAAGGCGCGGGCCACAGACTTCTCAATCGCAGCAATCATGGGCGCCGCTGCTAAAATGGCTCCACAGGCCAGGGAAGGTGAGTCCAGTATTTCTCAAAAGCATTTCTCGGATTTATATTTTATTTCCCAAGATCTGTCACATGAATTTTCATGTCAGGGTAATCTGCATGTCTCTTTCTTTATAGACTCTGTTAACAATATCTAGATAAGGCATCTATATCTTGTTAAGGCTGTTCTTTGAAGCGCTTGTGAATCCTCGCGTTACGAGATGATTCACAGATTTAACTAACCCTCTGAACGTCTTCCAGGTTTTTACATAAGCTGACTTTCAACACAGCAGACCCTGTGTCAGGTGCAAGACTGCAAATTGTTGAGGCTCTGCACGCACAATATATTTAGATGACGTCCAAATTACTGCCACATTTGGTGGTCTTGTCGTAGCTGGGGGGTTTGAGGCCGGTGCCGCAGTTACGACTCCTGCTGGTGATCCTATTTGTTAAGACTACGCTACACCCGGCCCTCCCGTGGCACTTATTGCCCAATTTTAGGCTAAACGACAGATAACTGTCACAGTAATTAACAGTAACTCCTTCTAGTGTTTCTTATCTCTGTGTTGCTGCTACGCTTCTGTTCCGTGAAATTTGCCGCGCAACAGAGAGCTCTTTCCCAGTTCCTTTCCACCCCCAGGAAGCTCTTTCCCGGTCCCTTGATGATAAGCAAGACACATGTGCAACAGTTAGGTATCTTTATTCCGAAACGTTTCGCCTACACAGTAGGCTTCTTCAGTCCAATACAGAGGAGGTAGCAGAAGCAATAGGGATGTGAAGGCGATGTAATCAGTCCACCCTCAGTCAGTCCCTCAGTCTGACTGAGGGACTGACGAATCCTGTTAAGAAGTCTCTTCGTCCTTCAGGATCTGACTACTGGGAATTGTATTTTGTGTTTCATTAGGTGCTAAAGCCGCGTGGGTCATTCAGCAGAGCAGCCAAGTCTCTGACCAGCCAGCTTATTGGTAGTCGCATCTTCGATCGGGGGTTTATCATGACCCTTAATTAATCACAGGTAATAGAGTCACTTAAAATAATATAGTCACGCTCTTGAATAGGCTCTTATGTGAACAACGTTTCGCTCTTTAAAGAGCTGTATCTTGTCATGACTTAATAAAACTGTACACAGAGCGAAACGTATTACACACGATAACTGGTACCGACAAATGAAAAACGATATACAAGTGCAACGTTTTGAAAACTTTTGTGAGAGACGTTTAGCTCACCAGGAGTTTCTCCAGTCCACTACAGTGGAGGGTCAGATGATTTGAAGTCAGGTGTGTTATGATATATCAGCTGAACTGACGTCCGAGTCTTGGTGTCTTGTAATGTTTAAACACATTACGACTGATTCATGTTTACCTGGAGTTTACCTGGAGAGAGTTCCGGGGGTCAACGCCCCCGCGGCCCGGTCTGTGACCAGGCCTCCTGAATGTCTACGACTTCTGTACAGATCTTCTAATTTAATGAGTTTAGCCTCATTCCCCTGCACAGTCTCTGTCATAGTGGTTCTAGGTATGTCACAGGTATTGTTATTCTTGTTAGTGTTGCATGCGTCTTGATCCTATGTCCAGCTCTATCGCTGCTTACCCCAGCATGGTGATCTTATCGTAAGCTCCATGCATGCTTTAACGTTTGGTGAGCTCCGTGATGCTGGTGCTGAGGTAGTGTGACTTTGTAAATGGTCCAAGTCGGACCGAAACGTCGTCGTAAGCTCCTGTCTTCTATGTACGGGTTATTTGTGTATTGTTCCAGTCACGGTATTGTGGCTTTTTGTTATTCTTAGATCCACAGCAGGTAAAATCTCAAGAGATATTGCTGGCTTCATTGCAGTTAGAGAGTATGATCAATCTGCTTAATTTTTCAACCATCATGATCAATATCCTTGATCCGTTACCCTTTTTTAGTACACAGTTTTCAGGGTTTACAATCGTAAATAAAACGGGAAAACAGCAGTTTGGTGAAAGTTAGCTGGGTGTAATTACAGTCATCTGTAAAACACGTGGATACAAGTCCTCAATGCCCTCGTTCTGTTGTCATGTTCCGACTTGTTCAATGGTCAGGAAAGTTTTCACCTATATGTTCTTTCTCTAAAGCGAATCTGATCGTGGGTTTATTGTCGGTGAATTTAAGTAATAGTTACGGAAGACTGAATCTCGTGGAGGAGATAACAGAAGTATCATCCATATAACGAAATTATATGTTGTTTGATGGAATGGAAGATGTATTTATCTCCAGGGTCTGGAGGAAGAGCAGTGCCAGGGTCTGGAGGAAGAGCAGTGCCAGGGTCTGGAGGAAGAGCAGTGCCAGGGTCTGGAGGAAGAGCAGTGCCAGGGTCTGGAGGAAGAGCAGTGCCAGGGTCTGGAGGAAGAGCAGTGCCAGGGTCTGGAGGAAGAACAGTGCCAGGGTCTGGAGGAAGAACAGCGCCAGGGTCTGGAGGAAGAACAGTGCCAGGGTCTGGAGGAAGAACAGTGCCAGGGTCTGGAGGAAGAACAGTGCCAGGGTCTGGAGGAAGAGCAGTGCCAGGGTCTGGAGGAAGAACAGCACCAGGGTCTGGAGGAAGAACAGTGCCAGAGTCTGGAGGAAGAACAGCACCAGGGTCTGGAGGAAGAACAGAGCCAGAGTCTGGAGGAAGAACAGTGCCAGGGTCTGAATGAAGAACAGTGCCAGGGTATGAAGAACAGCGCCAGGGTCTGGAGGAAGAACAGTGCCAGGGTCTGGAGGAAGAACAGTGCCAGGGTCTGGAGGAAGAACAGTGTCAGGGTCTGGAGGAAGAACAGTGCCAGGGTCTGGAGGAAGAACAGTGCCAGGGTCTGAATGAAGAACAGTGCCAGGGTATGAAGAACAGCGCCAGGGTCTGGAGGAAGAACAGTGCCAGGGTCTGGAGGAAGAACAGTGCCAGGGTCTGGAGGAAGAACAGTGTCAGGGTCTGGAGGAAGAACAGTGCCAGGGTCTGGAGGAAGAACAGTGCCAGGGTCTGGAGGAAGAACAGTGCCAGGGTCTGGAGGAAGAACAGTGCCAGGGTCTGGAGGAAGAACAGCACCAGGGTCTGGAGGAAGAACAGTGCCAGAGTCTGGAGGAAGAACAGCACCAGGGTCTGGAGGAAGAACAGAGCCAGAGTCTGGAGGAAGAACAGCGCCAGGGTCTGGAGGAAGAACAGTGCCAGGGTCTGGAGGAAGAGCAGTGCCAGGGTCTGAATGAAGAACAGTGCCAGGGTATGAAGAACAGCGCCAGGGTCTGGAGGAAGAACAGCACCAGGGTTTGGAAGAGCATTGCCAGGGTCTGGAGGAAGAACAGCACCAGGGTCTGGAGGAAGAGCATTGCCAGGGTCTGGAGGAAGAACAGCACCAGGGTCTGGAGGAAGAGCATTGCCAGGGTCTGGAGGAAGAACAGCACCAGGGTCTGGAGGAAGAGCAGCACCAGGGTCTGGAGGAAGAACAGCACCAGGGTCTGGAGGAAGAGCAGCACCAGGGTCTGGAGGAAGAACAGCACCAGGGTCTGGAGGAAGAGCAGCACCAGGGTCTGGAAGGAGAACAGAACTGACAACTTTTGGTGTTCTGAACGGCGACTTCGCAAATCTGACGACTCACTGACTTCGGAAGTATAGCGTAAACTAACGAACAAGGATGGCGTTATCATCGTAATTCATTACTGCTCGCACCATGACCCTAGAATGTGATGTAATGGTATAAAAAGTTGAAGAATAAGACACTTGTGCAGTGACACGTTTAGCCAGCCAGTGACTTCTTCAGTTCTCTGCAGAGAAGAACAGTGAAAGATAAGGTGAATGACTTAATGCATTACTAATCGGTGGGGAACGCCCGGCCCGCGGGCCTTACAAGGCCCGCGAAATCATTTAGTTTGGCCCTGGCAAGGCAACCGCTGGCGGGACTCGAAATTCAATAAATCTAGGAGCTTTATTTTCATAGCAATATACCGATTTACACTGTGTAATGATTTACAAAGTATAATGATTTACCGATTTACACTGTGTAATGATTTACAAAGTATAACGATTTACCGATTTACACTGTGTAATGATTTACAAAGTATAATGATTTACCGATTTACACTGTGTAATGATTTACAAAGTATAATGATTTACCGATTTACACTGTGTAATGATTTACAAAGTATAATGATTTACCGATTTACACTGTGTAATGATTTACAAAGTATAATGATTTACCGATTTACACTGTGTAATGATTTACAAAGTATAATGATTTACCGATTTACACTGTGTAATGATTTACAAAGTATAATGATTTACCGATTTACACTGTGTAATGAAAAAATCTACTAAACTTAAAATGCAAATAAATCTGCAGAATTATAATGATATATTGTAGCTTGTATTCTGATGAATTTAATAAAAATTGGGTCCTTTTGGAAGAATATACTGATATTTTTTTTACGTACGAGTAATTTTGCGATAATTTATATAATCCGATCTGACTTCTTGAGATTTTGATTGAGTCGCCCATCCATTATTTCGAATATATTTTTAATGCAACAATCATGAATACCATCTAACATCACACGCCTCAACGTCATCAATACCAGCTTACATCACACGCCTCAACATCATCAATACCAGTAACATCAACCTCATCTCAATACGTTACATCACACGCCTCAACGTCATCAATACCAGCTAACATCACACGCCTCAACGTCATCAATACCAGCTAACATCACACGCCTCAACGTCATCAATACCAGTTTACATCACACGCCTCAGCGTCATCAATACCAGCTAACATCACACGCCTCAACGTCACATCCAGTTACCAAAAGCCTCACATCACAACGCCTTAATTCATTCAATCAATACCAGCTAACATCACACGTCTCAACATCATCAATACCAGTTAACATCACACGCCTCAACAGTCATCATACCAGCTACATCACACGCCTCAACATCATCAATACCAGCTTACATCACACGCCTCAACATCCTCAACACCAGCTTACATTACACGCCTCTACATCATCAATACCAGCTAACATCACACGTCTCTACA